CAGATCCAGTCCAGAATATACTGGATGAGGACAGAGGAGAGGAGAATGCAGTAGATGACACACCCGGTACTGCATCCTTCTTATCATGTCACTCTTAGACAAAATCAAAGTGGAATGTCTGAGCTCACGAGCCGGTTAGAATCCATGTATTTAAACGAGGCAGAAGACGAGAATGACGGGGCGGGGAATGACATGGGCATGGAGAGAGTGTTTGAGGAGCTCAATACATTAAAGGGGACCGTAGATGCCCTGGAGACACGCCTTAAAGAGACAGTGGACAGTGCTCTGAGCAGAGAGGAGGGGCTAAGAGCGGCAATGGATGTGATGGCAGGAGAATTCAAAAAGTATGTGGATGGAAAGCTACAGCGTTTTGATGAAGTTGTCACAGACTGTCTATTACGCAGGGACCAGAGGTGGACGGAGGAATTAAAAAGGATCCAATCGAAGTCCCGGATGTCCTGGGGACCCGTTAGTTATTCTACGCCTTCCATCCCTGCACATTCTTCACACCGGCGACTAAGCGCAGACGAGACCTGTCCCACAGTACCACCAGCCGCAGCCAGACCCCCCATTAGAATGGAGTTTCCTCAGTTCGGAGAGTCGCGAAATTCTTCTGACGTCACGGACTTTGTTGAGCAGTGTGAGAACTTTTTAACCCTCAGACCACTGAGTGACATAGAGCTGATGGGAACGCTCAACACAGTTTTAAAGGGCCCTGCACGCAGTTGGTGGTTGGCCGCCCGCAGTAAAATCAGCAACTGGACGGACTTTAGGAAGTCCTTCCTAGAGGCGTTCTTACCCATGGACTATCAGGCGGAGATTGAGGATCAGCTCAGGACCAATGTGCAGGCCCCAGGCCAATGCCTGAGAGATTTTGCGTACGACCATCGAGCTCTCTGTCTAAAGTGGAGACCAGATATGACGGAGGCAGACATGGTGCGTCGCATCCTCAATGCTTGTAACCCTAGGCTGGCTAGCGGGCTGCGAGGCACAGTTACCACCGTTGAACAGCTGGTGAAGGTGGGCTCTCTTATTGAGAAAGACTGGAGCAACACAAAGGACTATTGGAGCAGAGTTCAGCAGTCACATCCTCCTAAAAGGGTGGGCAAAAAGAACGACCATGGTCCAAACCGGAGCTCCGGTGGCGACGTCGCTACAGCTTTGGGCGAGCCGTCTCTCCTTGTCGTGCCGGTCTACCTTCGCGGTTCCAAAGGCGATGCGGTACTCGATTCGGGATGCACTTACTCCCTCATGAGCCACTCACTATGGAAGGCCATCAAGAAGGACGGAGAGATTCTAGCGTCGAGTGAAATCCCAAAGTTCGTAATGGCCAATGGTCAAGAGAACAAGGCTCTTGGGAAAGCCACCTTGCTCTTTTGTCTCCACGATTTCCATGGCATGCTCGGAGTCCACGTTCTTGCTGACGACAACCTCTGCATGCCACTTGCGTGCCACTCTTGGGACTCGACTTTATGTCCATGTGCCAAGTAACTCTGAAGCCACATTGTAGACGTTACATAATGCCGGGTGGCAAAGAGTACGCGTTTCTCCCCAAAGTAAGAGCAACGCTGCACTGGAGTCACAAGCCACCTTCAGTGAACTTTTACGTTGCCGAACAAACCCACACTGTCATTCCCCTCCTGCAGGCTCAGCCAGAGGTGGTGCGGCCACTGCTGCAGAAGTGGTCCAATGTCTGGACTGAGGCTACTGGAGCCACACAAGTTATAAAGCACAAGATAATAACCACCGATGAAGTACCAGTGCGGAAAAGAGCCTACCGAGTATCGGCCCATAAGCAAGCTGTTATCGAAGAACAAGTCCAAAAAATGCTTGACAATGGGGTCATCGAGCCATCCGCATCCCCTTGGTCCTCTCCAGTGGTCCTCACTCCGAGAAAGGATGGAACTCCACGATTCTGCGTGGACTACAGGGGCTTAAATGAAAAGACGAGGCATGATGCGTATCCCATGCCCCTGATTCATGAGATTCTAGAGTCCCTGGAAGGCGCTCAGTACTTTAGCTCCCTGGATTTAAAGAGTGGGTACTGGCAGGTTGCTATGGACGATGAGAGCAAGCTCAAAACAGCCATGACCACCCATCTGGGCTTGTTTCAGTTTAAGGTCATGCCTTTCGGTCTGCGCAACGCTGGGGCTACGTTCCAGCGGCTGATGGAGATCGTCCTAGGCGAGTTGAGGGGAAAAGTCTGTTTCGTATACATTGACGACATTATAGTCTTTTCCAAAACGGAAGAACAGCACCTCCATGACCTTGATGCAGTGTTTGCCAAGCTCCACCATGCAAACCTGACGCTCAACGTAAAAAAATGCTGTTTGTTTCAGCGCCAGCTCACCTTTCTCGGCCACCTTGTCTCAGAAAAGGGAGTAGAGGTGGATCCCACCAAGGTGTCGGCTATCATGGAGTTCCCTCCACCGACAGGGATAAAAGGTCTCCAACGATTCCTGGGTATGGTCGGATGGTACCACAAGTTCATTCCGCGATTCGCTGACATTGCTGCACCCCTGAACCATCTAAAAAAAAAAGATGTGCAATGGGAGTGGTCTGCGGAGTGTCAGAGGGCCTTCGACCGACTCAAGGTCCTGGTTCAATCACCACCAGTCCTAGCCCAGCCACAACCTCAGCTCAGTTTCCAAGTCCACTGTGATGCCAGTGATGTGGAATTGGGAGCCATTCTCACACAAGAAATTGACGGTGAGGAGCGTCCTGTGGCGTTTGCATCCCGAGCTCTTCAGGGCGCCGAGGTCCGATATTCCACCGCTGAGAAAGAATGCTTGGCAGTCGTGTGGGCAATAGAAAAGTGGAAGCACTTCCTTGAGGGCACCACATTTGACGTGTACACTGACCACAGTGCCCTGGCCTGGGCGTTCAACTGCCCCAAGACATCCTCACGCCTCACCCGCTGGACATTACGTCTTCAAGCGTTTACCTTCAGAGTCCACTACAAAAAAGGATGCTGCAACGTGGTCCCTGATGCCCTCTCACGTGCCCCCATTCCCCAAGCTGGACAGGTTTGCCTGACTGTGCCAAAAACATATTGGTCAGACATCCCTTGTTCCCTGCAGGAGATTGCTAAGGCCCAAGAGGCGGACCCTTCCTGTCAAGAGCTCGGGCCGTCTGACCGCCAAGCAAGCCCGGGTCGCATCCATTACCAACTCCAACAGGACGTGTGGTACAGAGGCGTACCTTCCAAGTACGGAGGTTTTAATTACCAAGTGGTGGTTCCGGCCGCGTTGGTGCCCCAGTTCCTGTTGTACTATCACCACAGTCCATTTGGTGGACATCTGGGCAGGATGAAAACCCTTTTGAAGATCCTCCAGGTGGCCTGGTGGCCATCTGTCCGCAACGACGTCTGGCAACACGTCCGTACGTGCACTATCTGCCAGCAGTACAAATGTTCCCTTGGAAAGCCGGCCGGGCTCCTGCAGTCTACTGAGGTCAAGGTTCCGGGGGAAATGATCGGTGTGGACTTCATGGGACCATTCCCACTCAGCAAAGACCGCAACTCCGTGCTAATGGTAGTTGTGGACTACTACAGCAGATGGGTCGAGGTGTTTGCTTTGAAGGATGCCAAAACCCCCAAAGTCTGCAAGGTCCTGAAAGATGAGATTTTTACCCGCTGGGGCGTTCCGAAGTTCATGGTGTCTGACCGAGGCCCTCAGTTCACAAGCCATCTGTTGGCCCAACTGTGTGAAACCTGGGGCGTCACCCAAAAACTCACCACAGCCTATCACCCCCAAACCAACATGACAGAGAGAGTTAATCGCACCCTCAAGACCATGATTGCCTCTTATGTTGGGAACCAGCACCAAGACTGGGACAGGTGGCTGCCTGAGTTTCGGTTGGCTCTTAACACTGCGGTACATGAGACCACCGGCGTGACACCTGCCATGCTGACTCTGGGTCGAGAGCTCCTGGGGCCACTTGAGAGACTTGTTCACAGAGCTCCTGCTCCACATACACCCGCATACCAGACTCTTCAGACACACACTCAGTTAAGGGAGGAGGTTGCGAGACACGTTGGCGCGTCCAAAGCCAGACAAGCCAGATACTATAATGCACGACGCAGGGATGTACACTTTGCTGTCGGTAGTCTGGTCTGGGTTAGGTCGCATCCGTTGTCCAAAGCTTCTGCGAGATTCTCTGCCAAACTTGCACCCAAGTGGTTAGGGCCGGCTAGGGTAGAGAAAAGCTTAGGACCTGTAAATTACCAAATTTGTTGGTTGTCCGATAAGAAGAAGGTGGATACTATAAACGTGGTAGACATGAAGCCCTATTTTGGACCCGTCAAGCCGCTGGCTGGGGGGGGGGGGAATGTAACGCCTGCATAGGTCCTTACCTTAGTGTCGCTCAGGAGGGGTGACATTCGGTATTTTTCAACCAATTTTGTGTACCAGGTCTGTGTTGTGTTTTGTTTCATAAGTCTCCAGGTACTGATGCTATTATTGTTTTGCCATTGGTGGCGCGCTTGGGGACTCTATTTAGGAGTGACGGGCACGAGCGCGGGGGCGCGCGTGTTCTGACGTCAGACGCCGACTTGGAGTCAGGCCAGCACCTCTACCTGGAGTTTTTGTGGATTATAATCTCTGTTGGAGTATCGTTCTTTTTGGATTACCGTGTGCAGAGGGATCAAACGAGACTCTGTGGATTATCTCTCCATGGTTGCTGGTGGGCTCCAGGACCCGTTTTTGTGAACCTTGGTGCATGCGCGGGGCCGTGAGTACACCGTGGCTTCACCACTGACACTGACTCTTTCTTTCTGTTTCCACATATTGAGTTCTAAGTGGCTGTTTGTGATCATATTATGTTTTGTTGTGTGGGGTCGCGCTCGAGCGTGGGGGGTGTTGGCGCAGTGTGAGTTGACTGGGATCAGTAATAAATAGCCAGTCTTGTGCCAAATGCATGTTCTGTATCTGTGCTTATTTCACCCCGCTGATGTGACATCTCCTCTCGCGACCCTTTTAAAGCGTTGTAGCTCTGGTGTCTTGAAAAGTTAGGCAGATTGTTACAACATCTCCTGTTAAAAAATGACTGTGCAGGTTTTTCATCATCCGGCATAATTTGGCCTGTGTCCACAAAACCCAAAATTACATATGAACCATGCAAGCGCCGCGGTAACAACACAACAAAAGATTTTTCATTTCTGCTTGCCTCCAGAAATAATAATGTTTGGCTTGATTTTTGAGCCTTGGTATTTGCTGCTGAAATCACATTTTCTTCCCTTCGTCCGCACGGCCTCAAATTAATCTCGACTTTGACACAGTGCGGCCGCCAACGACTGTCAGATTTTTCCCAGTTCAGTCGATAAATGTCTACTGTACAATACATTACGCGCAGATCAGATCAATATGGCCGCTTACTGATCTTGTTAGGTAAAACCGGGCTATAAAATGTGTCTTGGCAGTAAAATATGTTTATTGTGTAGTAACAGTGAAGGGGAGCCGTTCGCAAACAGATCCCCTGGTACAGTGGAGATGGATGATCCCGGAGTTGGGCATGCCTTTCCTCGCAAATGTAAACAAATGAACTCGCAACGCTTTGCCCTAAATCTGTAGCCAAAGATTCCAGACAGATTGAATACAGCGAGAGATTAAGCATTTGGCAAGAAGTTTACATGATACAGTGAAGGACTTGTCACTCTGAAAACTTTTTACTGTAGCTGCGATGAAGCGATTGCGATTGGAAGAAGAAGAAGAATGTGAGTTGTTTTTGTTGAGTAAGTTTCTAGACAAGGCAAGGCAGGTTTATTAATGTAGCGTAGAGTACGTACAAGGCAACTCAAGGTGCGTAAAAAGACATGATAGGAAAAATACAAGGCATTACGATAAATTATCACGGTAATCGAAAATGAATACGTCTGTCTTTAAACACGGTCTAGTAAATGGTAACAGTTGTAATGCTAGTGTAGCCACAGCTGCCCTGGCGTAGGTGGAGAGAAGTGAGGCTATCAATCTGTGGCATCAGTCCCAACACCAACCACTCATGATCTCACATCACATTGGAATGGCAAGACATCAAGGCCAAAGAAAGATGACCAATGAGTCCCATTGAATAGATCATGTACTTCATTGCAAAAAATGATAATTAGGTGGTAATAATTGCATGAATTGAGTTGTTTTTACCTTAATTTGACTACATTCTGACTGTCTTAAAACAAGATTTTCCACTGGGACAAGGCCATCTGACAAAGCGAGACATTTCTTGAATCCCATTGGGAAATCTCATTATGAGGCAGTAAAAATGTGGTCAAATTAAGATACATTCTTGGCTTGTTTTTCATTACTTTTTGCAGTGTAGCGGCTTGAAAAAGTATTCATACTCATGTTACAACCACAAACTCAAGCTGTTTTTTTATGCGGAAGATGACCACCAGTGTAGACAAATATGGAGTGAAAGTTGGAGCCAAAATTAGACATGATTTAGATTGCGTTTGGAAAAAAAATTAGGTTTGCAAAAATATTCAGCTAACTTTGAAGTCACCAGCCTAACCAAGTTCCCTGATTACTGCCGAATGGTCAAATGTCAACCTAGATAAGTAGAAAAAACTAAAACTAATTTAAGTATAACAGTTGTTTTGTGATGCCTCAGAATTCTAAAGCGTGGTTCGGTTACGCAAAGATTAAATAAGCTTTAGGTATCTCACAGAGCAATCCATTAGTCTCACATGGAAAAAGTTTAAATACACATCACATTTTTCTCACAAAATCTCCAGCATCCTTGAGACATACGCAGTCTTTTTGTAGCTGTGTATAGAGGTCAGAAGCTCACCGAGATTAGAATATGGTCGTTTTTGCCATTCACAGAAGACATATTAAACCTCCTACAGCCAACATAGTCTCTGCCTGTGCATATCCAGCGCATCTGCCAGGTCACGACACAGAGTTTAATCCAGTGAGGGCTCTTTATATCTACGTAAGAAGGAGCGAGTGCGAGTGCTATAGCTGTAAAATGCTGCCCCTGGCTCGCGGCCGTACGTATAGCCACAGCCAGGAAGACGTATTACAGCGTTATTGATCGATCTTGCCTGGGAGGCGACCCCAAACATGGCTGACACTATCTTCTGTTCTGTCTGTTCATCTCTCTCACATTATGGCCCTCGTCCTGTACGTCGCGCTGCCATTTGCCTTCACCTCAGCCCTGCGTCGCTTTTTTACAAATGACTCCATCCTTAGCCCCAGATCTTATCACTCATGGTACTATTACTCCTGTGGCTCCAGGCCCAACCCCTTTACCGAGCTCATCTCATCTCGCCGGGAGAGTCTGCTGCTCTCCACAAGACTGCTCTATATCTCTGCATTTCAATTCAGCGGAGGGAAAAAAAGGGTGTGTTTTTTTGAAAGATTGTGATTATGATACATTGTTAGGTGTTTGAATCCTGTCTTGTTCAGGATGTTGCTTAAGCGAAATCACCTCATGCATGTGGTATTCTAAGACTTTATGATAGTTATGATAAGGAAATGTCACTGTGTTGCATAATTCCTGTTATTTTACACACCCCACTGTACTAAGATTTGGGAAAAACCAGGCAAGGGAAGTTGTAGAGCAAGGTTTCATACAAAAGGCAGCTCAAAGTGCATAACGCAACAAGATTAGGCATTAAAATCATAAAGAATCACAGCACATGAAACAGAGCAAAGATACAATCCCTCAGTGGTATGGATAGAACTGTTTTCAACCTGGATTTGAACATTGTCCCTGCAGAGGCCTGTCTCACATTTTCAGGAAGACTGTTCCTTATTATGGCGGCATGAATCTGAATTGCTGCCTCCTCATGTTTAGTCCTGACTCTGGGCACCAGCAGGAGGCCAGTCCCTGTGCTCCTCAGAGTCCGAGTAGGTTCATATGGCACCAACACGTCACGGATGTACTTTGGTGCGAGGCCATGGAGAGACTCGTAGACAAAGCAGATCTGATTTAAAGTCTATTCTCTGAGAAAAGGCGTGTTTTCAAGATTATAGTGTATTTGAATCTTGTTATCGCCTCATGCAGAGACAGTTTGGCAAATCCAACGGTGTATAATAGTCATGATAGGAAGATGTCACTGTAAATGACATAATCCATTATATTTAACACACGCCACTGTGCTTAGATTTGAGAAAAATACAGTTATTCAAAAATGAAAAGGTCTAAATAACAAGTTGAACATTAATGGATCGAAAAATCCCTCACAATGTTCCGGTCTGGTTTATTTTAGGCATGAAAGAGACGGAAAATGGCCAAAAGAGTTTATTTGTGTGCCTCAATCTGTTAGAAGGGGCAGCTTTCTCCACAAGCCCAGTGAATATGAGCTCTGTCCAAGGACACACATTTTGCATTATTTTTTTTTCTTTGCAACATTGATCTCGTTTTTAGGCAAGGCTAGTTTATTTCTATAGCACAATTTCATACACAAGGCACTAATGTATGACGCTAATGGCACCCATCGACGTAAACGGCGGCACGGTGGCTGAGTGGATAGCACTCTCGCCTCTCAGCAAGAAGGTCCTGGGTTCGAATCCCGGTTGGACCAGGGCCTTTCTGAGTGGAGTTTGCATGTTCTCCCCGTGTCTGCGTAGGTTTCCTCCGGGTGCTCCGGTTTCCCCTACCACTAAAAATATGTACAATAGGTAGGAGGCATGTGCCTCCTGTACTGGCACCCCCACTCCCAAAAATAACAATTGTAAACCGCTTTGAGACTCCGATGTGCAGTGAAAAGGCGGTATATAAATAAAGATTACTTACTTACTTACTTACTAAACATATACCTGCCCCTTCGCTCCAAATGTCTCGTTTGAAATGATCTAGACCGTGATGAACAATAATTACAAACACATAGGAGCCATTGGTCCATAGACAGCGGGAGGTTGATAGTTCATAAATGTTCATACATCTCTTTTAAAGTCTTGGATCAATAAATGGTCATAAATAAATTCCAATCATAATAAAAATTAGATTAAAATAAATACAAAATGATTAATATAAAATAAATAAAATATATAATATATACACTTGATTAAACCATCTGGACGATTTGATATAAAAATGTTTTCCTTTATATGTATTTATCTATTTTGTCTTTTTTTTTACTATGTGTTGTTGCTGTTTTTTTCTTTTAACTATTAAAACACATTTTGCATGGGTGCTTAAAAATAATAAAAAAAATATATATATATATATATATATATATATTTACACTGTCTGTACATTCACTGTATCAGTGAAGCAGGGTAAAGTATACAAAACAAAAAAAGTCCTGGCTCATCACTGTCCTTAGACCCTCCTGCATCGACAAAGAACAACAAAACAGTGGGAATAAGTGAGAAACAATGAGGAGGACCACTTTGAAAGACGGACTGACTATACACCACACCGAGTCACTTCTGCACTGCATCAGAAACACCTAAAAGCGACATTGTAAAATTGTCACCATTTATATAGACGCACAACCTGCTTTGCTTCCTAATATTACTTTTGAGTCCGCAACAACAGGGCCCTATGTTCCCTGCCCCAGTTTGCACGGATATAAACAAACACAAACGATGACAAAGCTTTCTGTCGCACAGTCTTTGACTCACAGCGTCGCACCCTTCATCTGTGTCCCGGAGTTTACTTTCATACTCTGATCTCAAAAACACTGTCCTTATCCAACCCCAGGTCAGTCGATATACAGCCACACACCTCTCCGCTCTGCTCCACTTGTACACGCAAGGTTTAGGCCATTTTCTATGAGGTTACACTGCAAAAAAAAATCAAATATGAGGTAATACGGGCTTGAATTGAGTGATTTTTATCTTAATTTGAGCACATTCTGACTGTGCTAAAACCAGTGGGGGCGGGTCCCAGCTCAAAAATGTCCAAAATGGAGTGCGCTGACATGCTTGCAATAACACCCCGGGCCAGTGGGGGTGGTATAGCATCTTCTTACCTCTCAAAAATGTCTTTACAGAATGGTCCAAAAGTTGCTCTTGGCCAAAAGCTCTGTTCCACATGTGTCATTTTTTTTGGACCAGTCTAGTTTAGTCGCTGTGAATTTTTGAAGGCACTCGTTAAATGAATGGGGCTGACGCGTGCGCAAATGCGTTATTTCACATTTTCCAGCCCCCGCGGCCATTTTGAAACTGCCCATAGACGGCGAAAGTGGTGGCACATTAGTTAGAACGACGGCGATAGGCGTGACTGCGTCCGTTAATATTTACGGTCCAATGTTAAAACAAGATTCACCAATGGGACAAAGCCATTTAGTCTTATTTCAAGAACTGTTGCTTTATTTTCTTATTCCAAGGGAGACATTTTATTCATAGAGATTTTCAGAAGCTCATGACTTTGGAGAAAAGTAGAATTTTAAGACTGATTATTTTATTGTTTGCAAAGGACTTTATAAATTGCAGACCCTGCGATTTGCCACTTTTCAAAATTAGATTCAATTTCCATATTTTGCCGCACCATCCTCCTCCCTCTCTCCCTCTCTCCTCCCTCCATCCTCCACTCTCCCCCTCTCCTACCTTCACTCTCTCCTCCCTCCATCCCCTACTCTTCCCCTCTCTCCTCTCTCCACTCTCTCCTCCCTCCATCCTCCACTCCAGGGAGGAGAGAGGGAGAGAGAGTGGATAATGTAGAGAACATTATCCACTCTCTCTCCCTCTCTCCTCCCTCCTCCCTCCACCCTCCACCTTTCTCCCTCTCTCCTCCCTCCACTCTCTCCTCCTTCCATCCTCGCCCTCTCTCCTCCATCCACCCTTCCTCCCTCTCCCTTCCCTCCACCTCTCTCCTCCCTCCATCCTCCACCCTCCTCACTCTCCCTGCAGGATGATGAAGTGCTGGTTGGACTGGCACAGCTGGTAGCACTGGGCACTGGTCCCATCTCTCTGACAGCTGTGGTGCAGTGTGACTTGCCCCTGCTCTTATTGGGGCACGAGTCCGCTATAAAAGAAAACAACAGCAGGCCTCCTTTTTGGGGACTCGCTGTTGCAAAGATGTCACGAGGCCCACGTCTGCAGTAGACTTAGCTTTTATTAGCGTCTCACCTCGCCGTAAACCAGGTGTGTGGGAGTCTTCAGTTTTGTGTTCCGTCTGACTCTCGCACAATAGATGTCTGCGCCACATTCTCCATTGATTCCACACCTACATAATGAGAGGACGGGCATTTCTCCTTGAGCTCGGTGTCTTGACTAATAATATGATTACACAAAAACAGCAGAAGTCTCACGAATACATCATTATATAGAAATTACCCTTGACCCAATTATGCTATGTTATAGAATCGACATAATACAGTACCGTGCTTTTTCCCTTACGTAAAAGGTTCTAATATATTTGTAATCATATGTAATTGAAATGTAGTTTCGTCTTTGCCGTCTGTTAGAAGAGAGCAACAAAATATAAATGTATTTATTCTTCGTGAAAATCTGCTTAATTGTCTGGTATTTATTCAACCGGACAGCTGGCTCTCAGACAAGATCATCACAGACACTTAATTCTAAAAACTGATCCTCTGAAGTGTTTTAAACTTTTTGTACCTGAAAAAAATGTAGTTATGTTTAAAGTTTTGCAAATTTGGACTCTCGTGTTATGTTAATAGATTTGTATGGTATTTATTTTATTCAGTGTTGCTTGTCCAAATAGAGAATCTAGTTTTAAGACCAACATAATTCACTCAAATCAAGGTAAAGAACAGAAATTAGTCAAATACAAATGTACTACAACTGTAACATGTGAAAAGTTGCTTTGTTCTGCTGAAAATAACTTAAAATCTAATGCCCCATCCAACATCATTAGGCATTGGACAAAATGGACAAAATAGACAAATCAGAAAAAAAAATATCGTAACGCTGGGATACATAACTGATTGTAAATAGGTCTAAACTGTTGTGAGAGAAAAGATGTTTTTTGTGGTCTGAAAAACAGGTAACCCAACTTTAAATGAAATGGAAATAATTAAATTGACCTCCATAGTGGCCCCGACTCAAAAACAGTTCTGGGAATGGTTGCTTCAGGCAAAAAACCACAGAATGGAATTGATTCAGATAACATGAAAGCCACACAAAAGACCGAGACCCAGAAATGTAAAATCCTGACCTCGTACCACCTTTCCAGGAAGTCCAGAAAGTCTCTCTCTCTCTCTCTCTGTCTATCTCTCTCTTGGTCTATCTCTCTGTCTCTCTTTCTGATTCAGATTCAGATTCATTTTATTTGCCATGTGCAGTATAAAAACCACATTGGAATACATTTGCAAAAAAAACTTACTCTGTGTGCACCAACAGAATAAAGAGAGCAATACGATGTAACCCTAAACCGATACAAGGGGTAAAGGCAACATTTAAAGTGCTCTGTTTAGACACCTAACAGCCTGTGGAAAGAAGCTGTTAGCATAGCGAGATGTCTTGCATCTCAGCGACCGGTATCTTCAGCCCGAGGGAAGAAGCTGGAACACGGCTTTACCAGGGTGATAAGAAGAGTCTTTGATGATTTTAAGAGCTCGGTTTAAAAGTCTGGATTCATAAAGAGCCTCCAGAACAGGAAGCTCACAGCCCACGGTCCTCTTTGCAGAGCGGAGCACCTTGTATAGACCTCTCCTTTACATCCACAGAGCCAACAGGCAAACTTTCAATGGTGCAGCGATAAAAGTCTGTCTGTCAGTCTCTCTCTCTCTCTCTCTCTCTCTCTCTCTCTCTGTCTGTGTCTATCTCTCTCTGTCTGTCTGTCAGTCTCTCTCTCTCTCTGTCTGTGTCTATCTCTCTGTATGTCTGTGTCTATCTTTCTCTGTCTATCTCTCCGTCTGTCTGTCTATCTATCTCTGTCTATCTATCTCTGTCTCTCTCTGTCTGTGTCTCTCTCTCTGTCTCTCCCCTCTCTCTCCCCTCTCTCTCTCTCTCTCTGTCTGTGTCTATCTCTCTCTGTCTATCTCTCTGTCTCTCTCTGTCTGTGTGTCTCTCTCTGTCTCTCTCTGTCTGTGTGTCTCTCTCTGTCTCTCCCCTCTCCCCCCTCTCTCTCTCTCCCCCCTCTCTCTCTCTCCCCCCTCTCTCTCTCTCCCTCCCTCTCTCTCTCACCTGCCGCTCTCAGGCCCACATGTTTGGCTGCCGCTGGTGCCATCTGTAAAGCTAAAGAAAGTGTCTCTGGAGAACTGGGCCTTTTCTGACCCACTGAGGCTCATTTAGGGGCAGCTCCGAACCAGAAGTGAAGGAATCTGAAGTAAGCAGCTTCCCCACAGTCATGGAAGTGTGCCAGCAGAGGTGCAAGTACTAAGGCTAAGATAAAAGACATTTATATAAGGACTATCAGGCTTGGTGCTAAACAGGGCTTGGTCAACTCTCACTTTTTCAAAATCACATTAAAATCAGGAGTGCCTAACCTTTTTGTTTCATTAATAGTAATTATAATAATAAAAACGCGTCGTATTTATACAGCATTATTCATTCACTCCAGACCCAGTGGTGATAAAGTACTAAAGTAGCCACAGCTGCCCTGAGGCACACTGATAGAAGCGAGGCAACCAGTCCGTACTATCAGCCCCTCTGACCTCATCAACCATTTACACACACACCAGACTCAATCCAGACAATGTGGGTGAAGTGTCTTGCCTAAGGACATAACAATTTGGCACTTTTCAGCCGCAGCCACCCCACTGTGGCACCTAGTGTTCCTGGAGGTCTCCCATCACAGTACTAACCAGACCCTGTCCTGCTTAGCTTCAGAGGCCTGGACACTAGTGATAGAACCAGTCGCGAGAGCAAAGAACAATGGCTTTTATTACATCATGACATACATTTTTTGTTGTTTGAAAGTTGGATACCTGGGATAGGGAGATTTTTGTGTTGCAAACGTGAGACTAACCCGGATTAAAATGTGAAAAATATCTTAGCTTAACACCTCTTACTCACTCAGAGCATGGACCTAATCCTTTGCAAGTTGAGTTTATAGAAAAACACCAAAATAACAAAGACAGTCGCAACAATCAGATCAAAATGGTGAATATTTAACGACACCAATGCACGTCCAAAAGGCAATTCATTAAAGCTATTTTTCCCTCCGCTGTGAGACGCCAAGTCTGAGGAGATGTTGCGGCGTCTTTTGGGGCTTTCACAGCACTTTACTTTAGTCAATTATTCATTCTTTAACACTGTGCATAGTGAGGTCGTATGCAGGGACGTGCGGTGAGGTTTGTGATTGGGGAGGCACTGACTTTAAAAGTCAGATTTACAATCATTATTCAAATAAAATAGCATTTAATCACCAATGCAATGACATCCACAAACTTTATATACTGTAAAGATAAGAGAACCAGCTTCTTTTAATAATCTCACAACAAATCTAGCTGCTGACTCTGCTCCGCATCAAACAACATCTTTAAGAAGCGCAGGTGCGAGAGACGCGAGGAGAGAGAGACGCGAGGAGAGAGGAGCAGAGAGAGACAGAGAGGAGCAGAGAGACGGAGACGCGAGGAGCAGAGAGAGACAGAGAGAGAGACAGAGAGAGAGAGCGAGAGCAGAGAGAGCAGAGAGACAGCAGAGAGACGGAGACGCGAGGAGCAGAGAGAGACGCGAGGAGAGAGAGAGGAGCAGAGAGAGTCAATGTTCAACATAAAACACAGATTAACAAACAGAGAGTGAGCCTCCCAGTCTATATTAATTCTTTCTTTGTTTGAAAGTCCAATTGAGAAAAAAAATCTTCATTCAAATCATCCATTTTCCAGCAAAAGAAATAGCATTTTGGGCTGATTGTTTGTTAGCAACTCTGGTATGAACTTTATGCTCACTATCACCCCTAGCGGTGAGGCACAGATACCGCCTGCCTCACGCCAAGCTTTTTCCTTGTGTGTTCATCTACGATCAAAAGACTTAAACTAAATATAAATTGTACACACATACGTGCAATACACTACTAAACACTAAGAGGAGTTTAAAAAATGTTTTTAAAGCAGGATATTTGAAACAAACGGTGATATATCAACTGCACGAGCTGAGTGCACTCAGACACACACACACACACACTGTGAGGGAGCGGTCTGGGGTGAGGCACGCAGGAGCGCTTGCCTCACCTCGTCTCTTTGAATAGGAATAACGGGATTTCGGCGATTTTGACTTCAGAAATGATCAAAACTGATGGGAACCGTGCCGAATATACATTAAAAGCATAGGACAGTGGATATAAATTATATATTTAAACTAAAATAATTATTAGTTTCCAATAATGGCAGGTGAGGCTCTGCCTCCCCTGCCTCCCCTGACTGCACGTCCCTGGTGCAGTTTGTTGTTTTTTGGTAAGTTACTTTATACACCTGGTTAATTGTTTATTTCAACGTTGTTTTTTTTTTCCCCCTGTCCAGCTTCCATACAGCTTAAGTGGGCCATACTTGTATGATAAAGCAAATTCTCAGACCTCTGAAGCTTGCTGGGCAGTGCCTGTTAGTGCTGTGATGGGAGACACTAGGAACCACTGGTGAATCTTTACGGGTGGCTTTGGCTGTAAGTTGCCAAACTGTTGTTGTGTCCTTAGGCAAGACACTTTTTTCCACATTGCCTAGGATGAGTTTGGTGTGGGTGTGGAGGGCTAGTGGTGTTGGAGGGGCAGCCTGTGGCGACAGATTGCTTTATCACAACTTTGTATTGCCTGAATTAATTTTGATATTGTTTGTTAGCGTTTGAGCACTGAACGCCTCTCACCCAGGACACAGTTTCAAGGACTTCAGCAGTTTCAAGGACTTCAGCAGTTTCAAGGACTTCAGCAGTTTCAAGGACTTCAGCAGTTTCAAGGACTTCAGCAGTTTCAAGGACTTCAGCAGTTTCAAGGACTTCAGCAGTTTCAAGGACTTCAACAGTTTCAAGGACTTCAACAGTTTCAAGGACTTCAACAGTTTCAAGGACTTCAACAGTTTCAAGGACTTCAACAGTTTCAAGGACTTCAACAGTTTCAAGGACTTCAGCAGTTTCAAGGACTTCAGCAGTTTCAAGGACTTCAGCAGTTTCAAGGACTTCAGTGTAATCATGCAACCTAATAGGGATTT